TTTTCGGAGGCCAGGGAGGACCTGGCTGCCCTGGAGAAGGATTATGAGGAGGTTGGAAGGGACTCGGCAGATGGAGAAGAAGACGAGGCTGATGAGGATGAGTATTAACAAACTGCAGTCTGTTCTTAATGAAGTCAAACCTCAGATGAAATACAAACCCTCTGTCATCAGGCTAAACTGGTCCTGAGAGCCTGGAGGTGCCAAAGGATTGTCCTGAACCTCAACGCTGCTGTTTGACATATTATACCTTTTCTGCTTGCATAGTCTATGTGCTCATAGTGCACTTCCGTAGCATGGGTGTCTCGAGCTTTATCACACTGCTTTTTTTTTATCAATGAGTGAAGCTGAATATGTGCCTGGCTTAGTGTTGGGGACACATCCTGCCTGGGCAGAGAGGATCCTGGTTCCTAGGCCAGGGGAATGTTGCAAGCTGCCTGCTTTGGCTGAAATGGCAAATTCTTGCTCTAGCTTTTACTGTAAAAGCACCTTTAAATTAGAAATGTACCTGTACACTTCTATGCAACTGTCTTTTTGTATTTGAATAAAGAAACTTTTTTTTTTGCTCTGATTTCTTTAGATTTCCTCAGGGTGTTTGTGTGGGGAGGCCCCAGCTGCATGGATGTTGTCTTGGAGAGAACAGCAAATGCTGATAAGGGTGGGTTCTGGGTAGGCTATCTGTGAAGATCATCAACCATAATTATCGCTGTGAGGGAGATGACCTATATCCTCCAGGGACTTGTCTGTCTGGAGCTGGATGCTGCTCTTCCCTCCAAGAGGAGCCCAGAGGAAGCGTGTCTGAGAGCAGGCAGGGAATACCCAGTTTCACCAGTGCCATAATGGGGAATGGTGCCTGGGTAAAGAGCACCTTCCTGGTGGGGTTTTGCCTCCTCACCATCTCTGGTGAAGCTTGTTTGTTGCCTGAGCAAGTCCCAGTTGTTGGGGCAGTGCTGTAGCCCTGAGCTGAGGTCTTGCTCAGGCGTTGGTGTGAGTGTGAAACAGGTCCCAGGTGCCTGAGGAAGGAGTTTGCTCTGAGAAGGTGAGCCAGGCCCATGTGAGGGGGTGACGCGGGAGGAAAAGCAATGAAATGCCCCTGATAAGATACGGGGAGAGAGTGTTCCTAAGCCTGGGGGCTAGGAGAATGGCTGGCTCCATGTTGCCTTGAGTCCCTAGGTGCCCTGCTCATGGCTGTTGCATTACTCTTTGTGGTTGTTGGATACCATAGCCCCACATCCACCCTTCATTTCAACACTGAGCTCTGTCGCCAAGTGGAGGCAGTCTTTCCCCCCAGACCTCCTCCATGCCCTGTAGCTACAGCTGCCCTCTCCCCTGATGGGGGTATGATTCTGGAGAGGTTCCCAAAGAGAGGCACTGGGAGGTACAGCCAGGGATGGTCAGAGGGATGGGGAGATGTTGCTGTGTCTTGGAGAGATGGAGGTGGAAGGAGCCCAGAGCTCATTGCTGGCTGCAGTAGCCTAAAAAGCTGGGGTGCTGACAGCATGACATGGACCCCTTGGAAGATCCTTGTTGGGCTGAAGCCTCCTCTGGGCTCAACAAACTGCTATGAAATTGCCTGAGCTAAAATGTTAGGCATGTCCCATTGCTCCTGGGGAGGCTGAGCATCAGACTACCCTCTGAGGCTGGTCCTTCTGGGGATAGTAACCAGCTCCTGCCTCATCTGATGGGTCCTCTCCTTCGTCTCCAGCTCTGCTGGGGTGACGGACCCCATCGAGATACCCCAAAGCTGGTCAGCCTAAAGACCTTGGGGCTGGGTGAGTCTCTACTCATCCACCCTAGGTGGTCACTTTTCACCCGCTGATTCCTGGCGACAGGGCCAAGCCACCTCCTGGGTTTCCAGTTGGTTGTCCCCACACAGTGCCCCTAGCGCTGACAATAACCCTCACAGGGGAATGGTAGCTGCTCTGTTTGCCAGAAATGAGACTGTTCAGGGCTCAAAGATGCTTTTTAAAAGAGAAAAGATGACTTTTGTCTCTGTGCCCACAGGTAAACGTGCTGGGAAGTTTCCAGGCATGGTCTTGAGGGCTGCCACCTTTCCCTGGTGGCTCCATTCCCCACAGACAGCTGGGGCTGGAAGCCACTGCTTCAATCCCCCCAAAATGTGAGTGCAGCAGCCTGGGGTGGACAGGAGGTGAGCATCACTCCCGCTTGAAGGCACGAGCCAACACCAGGTGGCTGAGCAAGGGCAGGAGCACAGCCACGTGCTTCTGCAGCTTGGAAAGCCATCAGCACAGCACCAGGGCTGATGTCATGGGAGCGGTTGTTTATTACTGCGATCAGTTCCTCCAGTACTCCATCAGCACAGACCCGCTCCTGTCCTCCCACGAATGCAGTGAGAGAGGGAAGGAAAGGATTTTCCTTGGGGGGAAAATGATCCCATGACTTTTGGGGAGTTAGCATCTCCAGCTCGATGGCCATAGACAATGCTTTGGAGTCTCCACAAGCACTAGATCCTCTAGACCCACACCTAAGAGCAGCACACGCTTCGTTGCACACAGCTTTATTTTCCCTACCCATGTGCCAGAATAGCAAAGCTGGTCATAAAAAAAGTCCACTAAACAGCAACAGATGGAGCAGCCTGCAGGATCCGTTTCCTCCATGTTGCTCCAGCCCGTTCACCACCGTTCATTCACTACTTCATTACTACACTAAGGGTAGATCACAGGGGCCAGGGCAGAGTTGTTCATCATTGTCCTGCAGGGAGGAGGCTCAAGGTGCCCATCAAGCTCTGCCACTGACTTCTCATAAGGTCTTGGGCAAGATCCCTCTTCCTTGGTGCTATCCAGCCCTGGTCCAGCAGCACCTGCTGCCTCTTGCTTCCATCCCATGGCCTGATGCAGGCCAAGAGCTGTGTCTGGAGCTGTGCACGGTTCTCCTGGGGCCGGTGGTGATGAAGCTGCTTAGAGTGGTTGGTCTCCAGCACAGGGGGACAAAGTCTTCATCTGGCTGGGGGACAAACTGTCTCATTCCATCATCACTTCTGGGCCCAGCTTAGGGCCATCACACACAGATGTGATAGAAAGGATCCTGCTGCCATCACAAGCAGATGAGCCTGAAGCTCATGAGCATTCACAAAAATGTCCTGATGGAGCTGCAAGGCTGTCAGGGCAGCGGGCAGGACCATGCTGTGGCTGCAGAGACACACATGTCCCCAACAGACCAACAGCTGGGCTTTTCCTCCACTCCCAGCATGGGTAAAGAGCTGTGCAGCAGCTCACGCCATACAGCTCTGCATTCAAGAGCTATCAGGCACACCAAAAGAATTAAAATGAGAAGAAAAAAAAAAAGTAAAAAAAAAAAAAAAAAAGGTACTTTTTCCAAGCAGGAGGCTGACCCACCAAGAATGCAGAGTGTTCAACAGATCCATGGAGATGAAGCCTTTCCAGGGTCATAAAATCAGATGGTCTAGATGCAACCTCAGGCCACCAGACTTGGTACAGCCACTCGGGCTGCTGTGCCTCCCTCCCGCAGTCTCGTGCTATGGGCAGTGAGATGACCTGCATTGCCAGTGGACCACAAGGAGGGCAGACCATGAACCCCAAAACAGGACCCCTATCCCAGGACATCTGTGCTGAGCAGAAGAAAAGCTCCCCCCACTGAAAAAAAAAAATAAAAATATCAAGCAGCCCTCCCTCAGCTCCTGGCCAAATACCCAGGAGGGGAAGGCAGAGCTGGCATTGCAGCTGCCTGAGCTGCTTGCTTTATGCTTTGTCCCCTCCTTCCTTGCTGGAGAGAGGTTTGGGCATCACTTTGGGGCAATCACCCAGCACATAAAACTGCATCTGGTGGGGAGCTCAAAGGAGGCACAGGGCTGCTCCTTCCCTCTTCTGCAGTCATCACCCTGCCAGCCCCACCAGCCTCGCTCCCCCAGGCAGAGGGCAGCTGGAGGTGACACAGCCCCCAGGAGCTCCCACCTTGGTGACCTGGGGAGATTGCCACCCCCAGGAGCCCAGCTGATTAATGGCGAGTGGAGACAGACTTTAATAATCACCACCACCACCCTTGCCTCAGGTTGGTTAAATCTTCCTCCAGCACAACCCAGAGCCAACACTGTCAGCCCTTCAATTACAGCCTGACTGCAGATCCAGCTTCCCCACCACATCCCAGCCCACTCCTTTTCCTGGATCACTTACTGGGAAAAGACTCTGCAGTGGAGATATAACCTGCTGCAGTCCAGGGGATCTGCAGAGGTCAAGTTAAAATCCCCTTTTTCAGCTCATTAGCTGTCTGCAGGGATTTTTACATCATGCCTGGGGAGCAGCCATCACCCAGCACAAGAGGGAAGAAGTGTGACTGGGGAGACAGCTCCTTGCTTTAGACCTCCGAGCTAGGTTTGGGTGCCCGTGCAGGGGTCTGACAGACAGCAGAGGTATTGGAATTCTCATCTCAACTCCAGTTAGACTTCCAGGCAGGCCCACCCCTGGCAGCTGGACATGGGCTGTTTAGCAGAGCTCTGCACAGCAGCAGGGGACTGGAAAAACCTGATCCCAGCCCCTGCTCTGCCTTGGAGCAGAGAGCAGCACCGAAAACCCAGAGCCAGCTGTGTTTGAGCACACGGACAGACCACGGGCAGCCAGTGCCTCAGCGGGATCATCACCCCACTGTTGATTTTAAACACAGCAGTTCCACCCCAGGGCAGATGGCTCACATCGTGCTGTCAGCCACCCCAGTTCACAGGGCTCACCCCAGCATCTACAAGCAGGAAAGCCCAATGGGTAGGACTGCAATGACCAATGCAACATGGGAACCACCCTGAAGCCACCACACCCCCATGAGCCAGTTTGGTGGCACACCAAGACAGGAGAAGATGCTTTGCTGGTAACAATTTATTCAGCCAACTTGACCAAAGAGTTGCTTTTGGCCAAGCTGCAGAGCTTCCAAGTCACATTTCCTCAGACCTAGCCCACAATTCCCTTCTCTGGAAGGAATTGCAAGACTAGCATACAAAAAGCTTCATCAAAGCTGCCTTCCCACAGGTAAAAATATTATTCCTCATCGTACTCCCCTCCATCTGCCGAGTCCCTTCCAACCTCCTCATAATCCTTCTCCAGGGCAGCCAGGTCCTCCCTGGCCTCCGAAAACTCCCCTTCCTCCATGCCCTCCCCCACGTACCAGTGCACAAAGGCTCGCTTGGCGTACATCAGGTCAAACTTGTGGTCCAGGCGGGCCCACGCCTCCGCGATGGCCGTGGTGTTGCTCAGCATGCAGACAGCCCGCTGCACCTTGGCCAGGTCTCCCCCGGGCACCACCGTGGGAGGCTGGTAGTTGATCCCCACCTTGAAGCCCGTGGGGCACCAATCCACAAACTGGATCGACCGGCGCGTTTTAATGGCTGCAATGGCCGCGTTCACATCCTTGGGCACCACATCGCCCCGGTACAGCAGGCAGCATGCCATGTACTTGCCACGGCGCGGGTCACATTTCACCATCTGGTTGGAGAACTCAAAGCAAGCGTTGGTGATCTCCGGCACCGACAGCTGCTCGTGGTAGGCTTTCTCTGCCGAGATGATGGGTGCGTAGGTGGTGAGCGGGAAGTGTATCCGTGGGTAGGGCACCAGGTTGGTCTGGAATTCAATCAGGTCAACATTCAAAGCACCATTAAATCTCAAGGAGGCAGTGACCGATGATACGATCTGCCCAATCAGCCTGTTGAGGTTGGTGTAGGTGGGCCGCTCGATGTCCAGGTTGCGGTTGCAGATGTCATAGATGGCTTCGTTGTCCACCATGAAGGAGCAGTCTGAGTGCTCCAGGGTGGTGTGGGTGGTGAGGATGGAGTTGTAGGGCTCCACCACCGCTGTGGAGACCTGCGGGGCTGGGTACACAGAGAACTCCAGCTTGGACTTCTTGCTGTACTCCACGGAGAGCCGCTCCAAGAGCCAGAAGGGCCAAGTTACTGGAGTTATTCTGGTGTCAGGGGACTTAAATTACACTCAAGAACTGTGTTCAACCATCAAGTTTAAGACCTTCTATTTTTTTTACTACTGCTTACACACACCTTCCACTTCTAACAGGGGAGATTTGTCAGACACAGAAAATGCAGCTGCTTTTAAATTATCTCCTCTTTTAGCAGGAAGAAAGGCCTGGGCTGACAGGGTGACATACTGTGTCAGATAGAGACTCATGATACTAGCAATCAAGAAGATGAGGAAAATTCTGAAGGCCACTAAGAGGCTCCACCTAAATCAAGGATATCTTAATGTTATCACAGCACTTCTGAGGGTCTATATGGGTGAAACCTCATACCCCAGAAGCTACTGCACAAGGGAGGAGAGGCCTAAGGGGTGACACCAGCCAGAAGCTGAGCTGTGACATTGGTTGGAATGATTTGTTGGATCAGCATTGACACAGCAGACACTACACCCATTAGGAGAAAGCCATCTTGCCTGGACAGTTAAATCAGAGCTGCTTGTTTGCCTACTTAGGCTGGGGGCATCTTTAGTCCCTTGTTTTCCCCTCAAGTCCCAACCAGGAAGGCACACACCCAACATGCGTCCCATCATGTTGTTCCAGGTCACAGCAGCACGGTCAAGCTCACCAAGGTCTGCTTGCCCTTCCTTGCCATTGCATCTCTTGATGGCCAGGGCAACAGCAACCAGAGCTGCTAATGCAGAAGACCCTCCACAAATGGGTTGTTACCATTTTCCGAGCCCTGTCAACAACCGAGTCAATGATCTCCTTCCCAACAGTGTAGTGGCCCCGAGCATAGTTGTTGGCAGCATCTTCCTTGCCACTGATGAGCTGCTCTGGGTGGACACGCGTGCGGTAGGTCCCAGTCCTGATCTCATCTGGAAGAAGTTGAGGTCTCATGAGTGTCTCTGGCACAAGATCCACTGTCTACCAAGTTACTTGCACTAATTTAGATGCAGTTTCACATGGAAGCTGGCAGCCTCCCCAGCAGCTGAGGTGGCCAACACTACACTTCAGGTCAGAGAAAGTACTCCCCCTCCACCCCTCCAAGAAGTTTGGAGACCTCGCATGACTCACCAATGACAGCAGGCTCCAGGTCAACAAATATTGCTCTGGGCACATACTTCCCTGATCCTGTCTCACTGAAGAAGGTCCCAAAGGAAGAGTCTGTTTGCCCTGAGGATGCATCAGAGGAGATGATGCCATCTGGCTTGATCCCGTGCTCCAGGCAATACAGTTCCCAACAGGAGTTGCCCATCTGGACACCAGCCTGGCCAATGTGGACAGAAATACACTCCCTCTGGATGGGGATGGAGAGAAGAAGAGGTTAGGAATGTGCACTGAGGAATTACACTAAAGCTGGCACTTCTGGGTGTCTTTCTAGAGCACATGGCCAACAACCGACAGTCAAGAGGAGCATTAGCCCAGGTTGGTGGCAGCCAGGGCATTTTCACCCCAGCAAGCACCAAAGAGCTGCTGAATGAGCAACAACCAAGCATTAGCCCTTCAGAGACAGGTTGCACTCTCCCACCAAGGCAGATCATACAATGCTTTGGGATGGAAGGGACCTTTAAAGGCCGTCTAGTCTATCCTCCTGCAATGGGCAGGGACATCTTCAACCAGATCAGGTTGCTCAGAGCCCCGTCCAGCCTGGCCTTGAATGTTTCCAAGGATGGGGCATCCACCACCTCTCTGGGCAACCCATGCCAGTGCTTCACCACCCTCATCATGAAAATTTTTTTCCTTATACCTAGTCTAAATCTACCCTCTTTTAGATTAAAACCGTTACCCCTTGTCCTATTGCTACAGGCTGTGCCAAAAAGTCTGTCCCCATCTTTCCTATAAGCCCCCTTTAAGTACTGAAGGCCGCAATAAGGTCTCCCCACAGCCTTCTCTTCTCCAGGCTGAACACCCCCAGCTCTCTCAGCCTGTCCTCACAGCAGAGCTGTTCCAGCCCTCTGATCATTTTGGTGGCCTCCTCTGGCCCCGCTCCCACAGGGCCATGTCCTTCCCGTGCTGAGGACCCCCGAGCTGGACGCAGGGCTCCAGGGGGGTCTCCCCAGAGCGGAGCAGAGGGGCAGAATCCCCTCCCTCGCCCTGTTGCCCACGCTGCGGGGGATGCAGCCCAGGATGTGGTTGGCTTGCTGGGCTGCGAGCGCAGCGTCTCTGCAAGATGCAGAGATCAGGTTGTTGCAGTAGGTCCCTCTGCCTGTCAAGTCCAACTGCTCATGGTTTCTTCCCTTTGTTCTGCTGATCCTGCCTTGGGGCAGGAGACAGGGCACAGCCAGCCTTCCCAGGGACTTCACCTGGTGCTCTCAGCTGAGCAGGAGGGAATGATTCAGCCCAGCCAGCCCTAGGCAGCAGTGTAAACACTCCCCATGCCCTTCCCAGGGAGGTAGAGGCAGACCTCTCCCCACCCAGATGGGCAGCAGCAGAGGACCTCAGCCTCTCTCAGATGGGAGAAGCCTGTGCTGTTTGGCTTCAATTACTGACTGTCAGAGCAGTTTCTCATTCCCATTTAGACTACATACAGCCATGCAGGATCATCTGGCTGGAGACAGCTAGAGAGGACCCAAGCTAGGATGGCTCAGGACCAATTCTTCATCTTCTCCATACAAGATTAGCAGTTGCCCCATGAAGCAACTGCTCTTGGCTTGAACAGAAGGGAGGAGTCCCTGTGTAGAAAGTGTGGCTGAGCTGTTGAATTCCTTGACACAGGAGGCTGTGAAAACCAGGCTTTTGGGTTCAGAGAGGCTGGACTGGAGACTTCCACTGAGGCTCACTAAGGAGAAAAACCACACGTCCAGTTAGGAAGCCCTGAGCTACAAGATAGGAAAGTCTCAGCTGGGCTTACCCAAGGCTTAGTCTGCCCTCACCACCTGCTTTTACCTGTGGCCTGAGCAGGACACCCAGCACAGCAACCCTCACATTATCTTCCTGCCATAAGCCTGGCACAGCAGGACCCCTACCTAGCACAGAAACAGGGCAGCAACAGCCTATACTAAAGCAGAGGGGTCTTTCCCTGAGGGTTGATATCTAACGTATCAGCCCACAGCCACCACTGCATTTCTCTTCTTACACAAACTGTTCCAGGACAGCCTTAACAGTCCTCCACACCAGAGCCAGAACAGGGATACTCAGCCAATCTCCACAAGGAGAGACCTTCATCCCCTGCTCCAGGTCTGCCTCAGCCCCACAGCAGCACCGGATGGACACTTAACTCAGTCTTGGATCAGATGCCACCAGCAAGACCTTCAGAGAGAGACATGCAGGTCTGAAGGCATTTCAGCAGGGCAGTCCTTCCCGTGCCAGGAAGGGATGGACACCAGGCTTGCAAGGCCAGCCCAGCTCTGGAGACCAGTTCCCAAGCACAAGCTCTGCACCCCCAGGAGCCCTATCTCCAGGGCTGACACACTCCTCCATAGCCCACAACCACTTCCACTGCCAGGGAAGCCCACAGCCAAGGGCAAGACACCTTTCTGCACCTGGAAAGAAAAGCTACCTCCAGCTTCATCCTTCTGCAGAGCTGGGAAGGACCAGCTCTGGCTATCAGGGAGCAAACCCAAGCCCCACAGCTACTCACCATGACTCTGAACCACCTGGGCTCCTCACCACAACCACCTCACTGAGAGCACAGCCTACCTGCCTCCCTCTTGGGCCTTTTATAGCAGGGAGAGCTGGACTCTCTGCTAAAGGGCTCCTTCCTCCTGCCCCCTCCTCATGCAGGCACCTGCTGGCAAAGGGTTCAGGTGTTTCTGCCCCTGAGGGAGGGAGAGACATGCTTGGAAGGACTTGCATCTGCAGACCCATGGACTCTGGCGTTTCTTTGGCTTTAAAGCATTCATTTGGAATTGCTTTCCCCATCCTGTTCCCCTGACGGACCTGGGCAGGCTGGAGAAGTGGGCCCATGTGAACCTCATGAAGTTCAACAAGGACAAATGCAAGGTCCTGCACCTGAATCAGGGCAACCCCCGGTATCAGCACAGGCTGGGGGGTGAAGGGATGGAGAGCAGCCCTGAGGAGAAGGGCTTGGGGGTACTGATAGACGAAAAGCTGGCCATGAGCCGGCAATGTGCGCTCGCAGCCCAGCAAGCCAACCGCATCCTGGGCTGCATCCCCCGCAGCGTGGGCAGCGGGGCGAGGGAGGGGATTCTGCCCCTCTGCTCCGCTCTGGGGAGACCCCCCTGGAGCCCTGCGTCCAGCTCGGGGGTCCTCAGCACGGGAAGGACATGGACCTGTTGGAGTGGGGCCGGAGGAGGTCACAGAAATGATCTGAGGGCTGGAACAGCTCTGCTGTGAGGACAGGCTGAGAGAGCTGGGGGTGTTCAGCCTGGAGAAGAGAAGGCTGTGGGGAGACCTTATTGCTGCCTTCAGTACTTAAAGGGGGCTTATAGGAAAGATGGGGACAAACTTTTTGGCAGGGCCTCTTCCAACAGGACAAGGGGTAATGGTTTTAAACTAAAAGAGGGTAGATTCAGACTAGATATAAGTTTTTTTTATGCTGAGGGTGGTGAAACACTGGCACAGGTTGCCCAGAGAGGTGGTAGACAGCCCAACCCTGGAAACATTCAAGGTCAGGTTGGATGGGGCTCTGAGCAACCTGATCTTGGTGCAGATGTCCCTGCTCATGGCATCATGACTAGATGGCCTTTAAAGGTCCCTTCCAACCCAAACTATTCTATGACTGCATGAATCTATGATGTCTAAGGGCACTTTCTGTGAAATCAGGAAAAGAGCTTTGAATGGTCTTTTTGGGAGGAGTATGTGGGTTGCTTTGTTTATTTATTTATTTAAAGAATGAGGCTCATTTTTAAGACAGACTTTGCAATCTTAGGGCTGGAAATGTGCTTTCGACTTTCCATGCCCTGTTTCCAAATGCAAACAGCACATCTGTTGAATCTCCTGGGGACGGACCGGAATTGCAGGATGGGGCTCCTGCCTTGGGGTAACATCCTGGGGCTGGGATGGCTTCTCTAGCACTGGTGCCATGAGAAAGCCAGGCTCTCCCAGCTGGTGGCTCTGTTCCTGGGAGAGCTGGTCACAGCCCTTCCTGGCCCAGCTTAGAGCAGGACAGGACATCCCAGGAGCAGAGTTGGACACCCCAGGAGCAGGATAGGCCATCTCAGGAGTGGGACAGGACATCCCAGATGCAGGGCAGGACATCCCAGGAGGAGGCTCTCATGCCACCAGGGATGGCTCCCTCTAGGTGTATCTGCAGCCTGAAGTGCATCTCACCCCCTTGCTTACAGGGCTCGGCTCCTGATGTAACTCTGCAAGGCCACCATGTGCTTGTGCTCTGTGTCCCGAGGTGCATGGGCTAACTGCCCATGGTCGCTGCTGGAAATCAGCTTGGTTTTTCTAGCCAAGCCCTCCTGGATGTGAACACGGGTACCTCCTTGCACAGTGGGAGTGCATTGTTGGCCAGATGCTCAATGCCCGTTGAGTTACACCGCCTGAATCCTTTCCTCAGCCAGATGGGCATGGGGCCTTCTTGATCCCAGGATGGGGTTCAGGACCTGCTGTCCTTGGGGGTTGCCTAAATCACTGTACCATCTCTGGTTTGCTCTGATGTGAGTGAAGGAGGCCTTTGAGCATTGGCACGTGGAGGAGGAGAAGGAGGACGAAGGGGTTCCTGGAGGCCAGGGAATAGCTGGCTGCCTGGGGGAAGGATTATGAAGCGGTTGGAAGGGACCTGGCAGTGGAAGCAGAAGGATATGTTGGCCAGAGTGAACCTGCAGCGGCTGTGCACCCATGCCTAAGCAAACTGCTCTTTTTTAGTGTAATACTGAGAGTTTGGGTTTCATCCCTGCATGAAATGGCAGGAAAGACCTAATCCTCCCCTGGCTTTTACAAAATGAAAAATACCACCCCAAACAGCAACGCTGTCCTTCCCAAGCATGGTGAACTCTGCATGCTCCCAGGCGCAGGTGGGTGCTGACGGAGATTTCAGTGCTCCTATTTCCATCCAGCTTCCTCAGGAAATCTGTCTCTTCCAACCTCTGCCTGTGTCTCAGCCCCTCCAAGCAACCCCCGGTCTTGCTTGGCAGAAGTTGAGAAGGAGGATTGATTTTGGAAGGGTTTGTCCAAGCCAGTGCCGGGTGTGGGTGAGACTCCCCCACGGGGATGCAGCTGGGCAGGGAGGATCTCTGCTTTCCCCATTGCTCGCTATCAGCTGGTGTCCGCTGTCCCATCTCAGCTTTGCATGTGCAAGCACAGCCTGGTGCCAGCAAACACCTTGGCTCGTCTGCTCCCATGGTGTTGCTTCAATGTTAATTGCCTTCGTTAAAGGGGAGCAGAAGACCCAGTGTGAGCCCCAGGCATGTGATGTTTTGATTTGCAGGCAGTAGCACGGGGCTGAGATGTTCCTCTTGTCTAACCCGGTTCTGGGAAAGGACCCCAAGCAGGGCTGGTGCAGATCCCCATGGCAACTGGTGGTGGGGAAAAGCCTGTTCCCAGCCTGGGCCAGTGCTTTACTGGAGCTCACAGGGGAGCACAAGGGGAAAATCTCAACTTTCTGCTCAAAGCAATGATTTCTTCCTTGGCTCTGAGCACATCCCTCTGTCGCTCCTTGCTGTGTCAAGGCTCCTCTAGACAGCCCTGTGCATCAGAAAGGCTGAGCCTGGACAACCTGGAGACACCTCTGGCCAAACCCACAAAGGGATGAGAGTGTGTCCAGCTGGGTGCCCGGCCAGGTCTGACCTTGCTCTGTCCTGCTTTGCCTGACTAGATGTGAGCAGGCATATGCGCCTCAGTTTCCCTGGGTGTAAAATGGGGACAATGCCTATGTCCGGCTGAACAAGAGCTCAATATACCGATGAGGGATTGACATGTAGGGTATTGGGCTCTAAAGATATATAAAGCTATATGTATTATACATAAAGGACCATATAGCCCAAGGCTACAGCAGATTGCAACAAGGAAAGACCTCACCTGTACACTCTTGGAGTTGAGGCAGGAGGAGGTCATTGCACAGAGATGCTGTGGGTATGTTGGTGTGTTGTCTGCTGGAGGTGTGTGCTACGAGGGGAAGATGTTGAAGGGCCTGGTGTGTTATTTTGTTTCTGGTTTTCAGGCTTCAGTTGAATTTGGGTCAATCGGAGACCAGTCCCCTCTTAATGTCCCGCCTGGAGTGCTCCCCATGGCCATGCCCTGGACATGTGGACGGGGCTGGTGGGAGCTGCTTTCTTGCTCTTGGCAAACATCTCCTAGGGAAGGAGGGCCAAATTTCTCTCTACCTCCCACGCCTGCTACATGCAGGGATGGAGGCCAAGAGATGGCGTTTCATCTTGGAGCTGGGCTGAGAGGTGAAGAGAAAGGGAGATTTAGAGGAAGGACTAAATAGTCCAAGGTGAAGGGGTGGGAGCTTGGTGAACCGGGACTCAGTGGAGGGTGGAAAAGAGCGGGGTGAATGGGGATGGTCTGTGTATGGGGAGCTGAAGCCCCAGGACTGGTAGAGAGGTCTAGAAGAAAAGGGAGAGCGGCAGAAAGATGGGCAGGGGTAGATTGGGCAACATGGACAGACGTCATGGGGTGTGTCTGGAGCATCCAGGGAGGCACCTGCAACTCTTGTGGTCCAAACTCATCTGAGGCCATGGGGTGGCCCTGGCCAGAGCCAACTGATGGCCTGGGGACACTTGTGAAGGGCCATGTCAATGGTGAAGGTGATGCTGTCCCAGCTGAGACTGCTGAAGGTTCTGGTGGGGAAAGAAGTCGTTGCAAGACAACCTTAAAACATAGAGAGTTCCCAGAAGCAGGAACTGGGAAATTCCTCTTGAGGTCCCCTGACCAGTCTTGCTTTTCCCTTCTCAATGCAGTGATGATTGTGTGTAGGGACAGCTTGTGTATGGGGACTTGAGAGGGTGTAGGGTCTGGACCGTGATGGGGACAGGGCCGTGAAGTTGAGCTGAAGGAATGTTTTGGAAAGGCTACAGGCCCAGACAGACCCGACAGAGCACCCGGTGGAGGCGATGGGAGAACAAAGCATTGGAAACTCAAGAGATCATAGCTTTAATTAGGGATCTTCCCGAGGCGACACGTCCCCTTGCCCTGCTGCGGACACGAGCCTCTTCCCCGTGCATGGAAATGTTGAGGAGGAGGGAAGGAGAGAAGGAGGAAGAAGAGATATGAAAGTTAGGTAGCTCTATGGGTCAAAAATATACAACACTGATATCATACATGGCCGTCAGTCCCCTCAGCCCTGCTCTGAGTCCCCCCTGCCTCACAGGGGGTCACTTCCGCCGCCCGATTTGGGCCATGAGGTGCGCGTTGGCAGCGGCTTTCGCCCGCAAGTTCTTGGCTTTGGCAATGTTGAAGAGGATGTTCATGATGTTGGTGGGGACGTCAAGGGAGAGGGTGACCTTGGTGCGGCGGTCGCTCTTGGCCCGGTTTTGGTACGTCTTCCCCTTCACCTGCGCTTGGGAGACATATTTGTAATGGCCTTCCCCTGGGAACGTCCTTTTCCCCATCTCTTCGTCCACCGTGTCCTCCCCCTCCTTCTCCTCAGAAGCCTCCTCTGGTGAGCGGGAGTCGAAGCTGCGCTTGTCCAAGATGGTGTTTTCCTCTGGGTGGCTCTTCTGGGCTTCAGCGAGGGCCGTGTTGAGGCAGCTGAAGATGGAGGCGGCGTTGTAGAGGCGGAGAGCCCGTCCAGTCTCGGCGGCGCAGAGGAGGGCGAGGAGGAGCAGCAGCCTGGTGTGGGGCATTGCGGTGGGCTGCCCAGTGGAAAGAGGGAGGGGAGGGCAGAGAG